TCTGGGATTTAGAGACCACTGGATACACTGAACACTACACTAGTTGCCAAAAACCTTAATAGTGGAATGACAAAAAGGAAAGAAAGGAAAAGACCAAAATGGATGTCAGAAGAGACTTTGAAACTTCCTCTAGAACAGAGCAGCAAGAGCACAGAACAAGTAGAATAACCTGAACAGAATATCTGAGCCACACAAGAAGTCAAGTAATGTGCAAAAACCAGGAATTGGAAAACAGGGAAGGGCATACTTGACATTTCTCAAGCTAAAAACAATGGGGAAAGCCGCGAGTTGAAGACAAAACATGCAAATGAAAATTCTGGCTCCCAGAACTTGAGAAAAGCTTACATAGTTGGATGGAGTGCTTGCTGGGAGGAAAGGCCTAGCAGGGACAGCAAGAGAGCGAGACTGACTGGTGAACAACTGGCCAGATGTGGCTCAACCATCTTGTAAGCAACTTTTGACAGTGGCCTGGCAGAGCAGATTCATGTGGATGACAGTAAAGGTGTGATTTCCTCTTTTTCACATGCACCTCTGGGGACCAGACGTGTGGTTGGCTCCAATCCTCGTCTACTCCCAGCAAAGACCCTGCTCTCTAGGAGTTCAGAGCCAAATGGTTGGGAGTCAGTCACACCAGTGTGAGGTGGGGGCTGGCTGCGCCACTTTGGTGTGCCACTTTGGTGTCTGGATTCAGGTAGGCTCTGCTCCAGACCTACAATATCCATAGAAAGACCAGACTAGCATTTAACCAGTCATGCTGCCCGCATATCCCCTGTGGTTCTAACAGACACTGAAACTGACGACATCGAGGACTCCATGAACTATCTCCAATTGAATGCCCTGAACATCAATGTCAATAGTAACTCCATCTAGGGCCAGGAACTGTTCTGTAACATCCCTTCCACAACCACTTCGTGACCTCCCTAAATTGCAAAAGCTCCCTAGATATTTCTCCTCTCTGGCCCAACAACTGCACTTTATTTTCACAAATGTAACAACCCCACACTGTTCCAGAGACAAAATACAATTTTAGTTTACATGAAGAAATGAGAGAATGGCTCAAACAAACGACCAAGACGTAGAAGAGGCAATGGAAGTAACTGAAAATTCAAAAGAATGATTATTAGGTACCTTCAAAGGATTGATAGATCTAGGAAAGCAAGGAGATCACAATAAAAACTTCAGGCGAATTCAGGAAAACACTACAAGAACAAACAGACAAAATAGTTGCAAGTTTTGAAACAATACAAAACCTGCTATTAGAAATCCAGAAAATTACTACTAAGATCTCAGGAATGGACAATACATTGAAAGGGCAAAGGAATTTATATGAAGCAATAGAAGCCCAAATTAGTGAGCATGCTATATAGTCTAGAATCTCTGTAAGTCTTTTGGCTTCTTGTAGTAGTGTTTTAATAGTTTTCTTTGTATAGGTCTTTTGTTTCTCTGGTTAGATTTATTCCTAAGTATTTCATCTTTTGAGGCTATTGTAATTGGTATTGTTTTCCTAATTTCCTTTTTAGCATTATCTTTATTAGTATAGAGGAATCCAACTGATTTTTTTTTTTTTTGCATATTTATCTTGTACCTTGTACCTTGCTACTTTGCTGAATCTTTCCATGTGTTCCAATAATTTACTTGCTGAATCTTTGAGATTTTCTATACATAGGATCATATCATTTGCAAATAGAGTTTTACTTATTCTTTGCCATTTTGTTTTGCTGTCGAGTCGGTTCCGACCCATAGTGACCCTGAATAGGGTTTCCAAGGAACAAATGGTGAACTTGAACTGTCAACCTTGTGGTTCAAACAACTTTGCAGTCCAGCACATTAAGGCACAGTGCCACACCAGAAGTCCAGCGTGCCATTTTGGAGGCCTTTAATTTCCTTCTCATGCCTTGTAGCTCTAGATGCGACTTCCAACACATATTGAATAGGATTGGTGATAAAGGGCATCCTTGTCTGCTTTCAGTTTCTCTCCATTAAGAATAATGTTGGCCATTGGATTTGAAAATAATTTGATTTCTTGACTGCTGCTTTCGTGAACAGTGTTGATTGTAGATCCAAGGAAAACAAAGTCTTTGACAATTTCAGTCTTTTCCTCCATTTAATCTCTCATACCTCAGACATTATCAGGAGGGACCAGTCCTCGGAGAAGGACATGATGCTTGGTAAAGTGGACGATCAATGAAATGAGGAAGACCACCTCTTCCCCCCCAATGATATGGATCAGCACAGTGGCAGC